TCTCATGGAGTACAGTCATTCTTGGACCAGCGTATTTCTGTCTCTGTTGTTAAATAAATATTGCCATAACAACTACATTTATCCATTTTAAATACACTAACCTCACTCCTTTGTAACAACAAAGACAAAAATGTAATTAATTCAGAAAATCTTTTCAGGACCCCATCTTGATGTTTCGGGACCCCACTTTGGGTCCCGACCCCAACTTTGGGAAACACTGTTCTAAACTTCCCTGGGGGGTCAGATGATGCTAAAAGCCTGAGGACGAGGCCGGTAATCTCAGAGCGGCCTTCTGTCTGACCTTCTAGTTTCCATTTGCAACATAAGTTGCCCATCACCTCAAAACTGGTATGTGACATTTAAAAAACAAAAACCATCAAACACTTAGTGTGTTTCAACAGAAGTCACATAAAACTGTTTGTTCATGTAAAATATTACCAACTAAAAACAAATCAACCTCTCTGATTCCTAATTGTCCAGTCCAACAGGAAGCTTTATGGATTCTTACCTTTGGGTCCAAGCCTGGATTTGACTCTGAATGTGGCAGTTTAACACTGCAGACAGTTAAATACTCTTCATCTCACCATCACCACAGTCCCAACAGTGACGCCCCCTCCGCTTAAAATAACTTGTGACAGAGATGACCCCCCTCTGATCCTTTATCAGGGTCTGAACATCAGGCACTCAGACGTGTGTTCTGGACCCAGACTCACAGCTCTGACAGCTGCCACAAACGTCCACACAGGAGGGTAATTTTAGCTACACCACAAGTTGGAGGATTAAAACAATCGCAACAGAAGCTGCTTTGGATGAATAAGAACGTAGAGAAGTCTGCTGTTTACAGATCTTTACAACAGGTGGAACACATATAAAATTTGACCTTGGGGTCACTGCTAAGAAAAGACCAAAGTTGTTTATTTTTTTCTACTGATGCAATTTTAAGATTTGTTTGTGTGTAGGCCTTTATTTAAAAAAAAACAAAGATCAGATATGACTTTATTTCTGGCTGAAATGAAAAGTGATTTTTTTTTCAATTTCTTATGAACCGTTTTAACTCAACTTTATTGATAGTTGTGTCTTTTTACTTCCAAATGATCTTTTTACATGAGACAGGACCAAGACTAATGAAGAACATCCATTCATCCATCAGTTTTCTGAAATGTAATCTGGTCATAAACCCATTCAGTGATTCATGAGATTTTCTTTTAAAAGCAGTGTTGAGGCCAACAGGTATTGCCAAATGTTGAGCAAAGACTTTGCAATGCTTTGTGTAGTCCTTGAAAAAGTTTAACATGCAATATCTTTTGTGAGATGTTAGCATTCGAAGTATGTTTTGAAAATGACTCTCAGCTACTGCAGCAAATGTTGGCTCAGTATCTGAAAAACTAGTTAAGTTGAAGCTATTTTTGTGCTGTTTGTCATCTTAAACTGGGTTCCCTCCAAAAGTCAATCAGATGTCCTTGAATTACTTTCTGAAATTTTCTATATAAAAAGTTCATGTGGTTTTGCCAACATGACAAATAAACACACAAAAACATTATCACCCTTCTGCCTTTAGCGGTGAACAATAAAATGACCAAAACGCCTTCATGACTTCTGATCCAAACCACTTTAAAGTATACTTTAAGTATATTCTGGCTGTTAAAAAGCTAACCTATATAACATAAAACTTGCTGTTTTGCTAAAATAATTAACATATGGCATCAAATTATTATATTTGAATAATTTAAAGTGCTCATCATTTTTATAAGATACATCTAAAGAGCTTTGTAGATAGATATAAACGCTAATGTAACCTATCAAATTATCAGGACAGTAAAATCAATATACTATAAAGTCAGAAACATTCTTTTACCGTGCATCCATAAAACTTTTATATTCCAACACATAAGAGGAYAAAACAAGTGATCAGACATTTTTACAAAAGTCATATCAAAATTAATTAACCTTTTTACAAAGAGCAGGTCATCACAAACAACAAGATCACAGTGTTATAAATTAAACCCACCAAAATCTATAATTTGACTTAAAATGCATCCAATTTTCACATTTTCTTAATCAGTACATATGTGCAAAAGTGGTCTTAGTTTTACTAAAGCATTGATGCAACTTTTACTCATCCTGGACATCAGAAGAAAATGAATTTGTATAAGATTAAAATAAAAAGAAAATAAAATTAAGAAGACAGTTAGATTTTGGGCTAACTGTTTCTCTCAGCATCACACGGAGCATGACAGTAGTGTTCCTGCGAGTCTGAACTTGTTTTTGATCCATCTTCCATAAGTCTGCTGGACCTGAGCCAAAATCCGCAAGGCAGCTATTTTCAGAGCTTGGTATCAGCAATGCCATGAGGAAGCTGTGAAATGTTCAGAGGTAATGAATACTGTAAAATACTAAAACACACAAAGACCCTCGACCACACATTCACCCACAGGTTTACACAAGACCCCAGGAGGGGGGTCCCCATCAGGAGTCCTCAGTGGAGATGTCCAGCTTCCTCTGAGGAATGGGTACAGTTTTAGTGGCYGGGAGTCCGTTGGTGGTTACCACTGCAGCCAGAGGTGAGACGGGGACTGGCGTGTGAAAGAAGCTGTGCTGGGGGAGTCTGGTCCCTTTGGGGGTCGTCATCAGAGGCTGGACGACAAACAGAGCTCAGTTAAAGTGATGAAGAGTACCAAAATGGAAAATCAGTTTCAAAAATCCACGTAAATCTGGATAGTCTGTATTCTTTAATTTTACACTAAAGAAACAATTAAAATATTTTCCCCCAGTTTCTTAGTCCCAAATTTTCTAAAACAAACTGGAACCTGAACAGAGTAACTATATAATGTCCTAACATTAACGCATCAACTAAAAACATTTAAATCATGTTATCAGCAAATTAAGAAGTGGAAACATTTTTTTAATTTAATTAGTGAAGTGCCTGTGACATCATTTTTTTGTTATAAATATAAATATATTTTTGGAAAGATAACATTGATAACATACTGTAAAAAATATTTCATGCTGCTGAGGTGAACAGTTGTTGAGATATTTGCATGTGAAGTAACAGGAAGTGATGTCAAAGGGGAATATCTGAATGTAAAGAGTGTTGCTAAAATGGCTAACAACACAGACTGTAGTGAAGAATCTGATGATTCTTTAGATTATTTTAAAAATTATCATAGAGATGAGAAAAAGTCATATAGTTCAACTAATATTGTTTATATAAATAAAATCCAGGGAGTTCTTTCTCAGAGTTTCCCTTTGATGTCACTTCCTGTTTCACTTTAKCTGAACCAAATTCAAAAGAAAATTGCCAATTATGTGACATAATGGGTAAAATCTTGTGTATTATGCATAGKTTGTTAAACATAAATATATTTTCTTTGACTTCTGGTATTCCATGGATATGCATGTCACAGGCACTTTAAACATTGAAAGAGAATTTAATTACAAACTGAGTTTCATATGTATTAATCTATTGAACTGCATAATGGGTTTGGACATCCTGTGAATGTTGAAGTKAAAGATGTGATTAACTCGTACCTGTTGCACACTGATCAGGGTCATTGGCTGTCCAGGTACTGTGTGTTGGACGGACACGGGGGACACGGGTTTGATGAAAACCATGCCTCTGTGCTGCAGAGCCAGAGGGCTYGGCAGAGTGTTGCTTTGTTCCGGAGTCTGCGGAGCTGCGAAGGCGTTAACAGAGTTGGGGTTGGAGATCAGACCCAGGTTCTGCAAGGTAAAGTTCAAAATGGCGGGACTCGGGCTGAGGAGTCGGTGGGACTGCTGGGCGGCGTGCGGAGAGGCGGCAGGTTTGTTTAGACCGGGATTGGTGGGGGTCACCTCCTGGAAGGAGGCAGCTGGTCGGGATCCTGTGGAGAGAGAAAGACATGTGAGGGATCATCAATAGAGCCTTAAAACACCTACAGATATACAGGGAACCCCAGCAGAGACTGTTACCTCAGTCATTCAGAGTTTTCCTGAAAAACTAATTAATGGTTGTTTACTTAAACAGCAAGTATCCAATCCATGAATGTTTTATTTTTTGGCTTTTCCATTTCAAAAAAAAAAAAAAAAAAAAAAAACAAAACAAAACAAAACAAAACAAAAAATAAGAATAATCCATGTTTTTTACATATTAGAAAAACAACAATTGTAAAATTAAAAACCATTTTATTTTGTTAGTGCACCATTTGGTCAAATATATAATTTTTATTAGTATTTTAGACTTAAAAAAATGTTATAAGTTGACATAAGTCTAAAACATTTTAGTGACAGGACCTTTAGGGCTGGTTTGTTTTTAAGCAACCTTCCAGCCACTAACTAAAAACTCTTCTTTCGCGACTTTTGTCATTTCCAGTATCGTTACATATTAAAACAACCTTATATGTTATTTTAGCTTAAGATAATTGAAGCGAAAATCAAACACTGGAATTTTAATTAGTTTGGTTTTCAATTTTTTCATTCCGGTTTTAAGGGGGATATATTATGTGTTTCTCAGGCATATATTTAAACATTATACCWTAATWAAGTATCTATGTCAMCTTTAGCTGTTTGTTTTTATGTTTAAATAGAAAATAAACCTATCTTCTCATCACTTCTTCTTCTAAACGCCTTGAAATTGGCCTCTGTCTCTTTAAGAACAACCTTCCGCTTCTGTGCTATGATGCAGTTTACTTTCATCTGAAAATACATTTTCTCAAATGTATTTTTAATCTGAAAAGCACTTCACTGAGTGAGAAGTGTTAGGAGCTCAGCAKACAATTTYAGTTTCACTTTCAGTTTCACCCGAGAGCCTGCAGGAGTCATGGGCGGGGTGTGTGGGAAGGAGGAGGGAGGCGAGAGGATGGGGGCGCTCTGCCATGAGGAAGCTCGGCTTAAAGACACGTCCCAGGGGCGTTYCTGRTCCCCAMCTGTCGTTTTGCTCCCCAGCATGGCTGCYTATAAAAGCCGCAGTATTTCTCAAACATGCATGAATGAGTCAGAGCAAGGCTTTGGGCATGTTTTTTATGAGAGTATAACATTATAACATGACGTAAAACTCAAAAAAAGCTGATTTTACACGATATTGCCCCTTTAAAAACAGAAAAACACATTTGGTTTTCTTTTTGCAATTTTAATTTGAAACGGAAAAACCAAAGAACAAATCATAAAGATTATATCCTCCACAATTTTTCCTGTCTTTCTTTCATGACACTATTTAATTTTTCACAGCTAATTCATCATTACCACCAGCATGACATCACCAGAGCAACAAAATAGATGAAGTCAAGCTATTGGTTGGAAAAAAAACCAGCAGAACCCAAAAGGAAATTCATTGCACTGTACTGTATGTCCAAATATACTTGGCAATAAATGATTCTGATTTTGCTTTTGACCATATTCAAAATGTGTGATTTTTCACAATTTGCAAGTGATCTAAGAAAGAAACCCCCACAACTTTAGGGGTCTACTGAAGGTTTATATAAATA